CTTTCGCCTCCCGCTTTTGCCTCCCCTTTTTGCCTCCCGCTTTCGCCCCCCGCTTCCGCCTCGCGCTTTCTCCTCCCGCTTCCGCCCCCCGCTTTCGCCTCCCTTGTTTGCCTCCCGGTTTCGCCCCCCGCTTCCGCCTCGCGCTTTCTCCTGCCGCTTCCGCCCCCCGCTTTCGCCTCCCTTGTTTGCCTCCCGGTTTCGCCCCCCGCTTCCGCCTCGCGCTTTCTCCTGCCGCTTTCGCCTCCCGCGTTCGCCTCCCGCTTTCGCGTTCCGCCCGCGCCCCCCGTGTCGTGAAAGAGTCTCGTCGTGTCGTGTGGCTTGCCCTGTCGCTGGATTAGCGTGCCCCTCCCGCTCCCTCCCCCCGCTCCTCCCTCCTCCCTCCTCCCTCCTCCCTCCTCCCACTCCCTCCTCCCTCCCCCCACTCCTCCCTCCTCCCTCCTCCCTCCTCCCACTCCCTCCTCCCGCTCCCTCCTCCCTGCTCCCCCCCCCCTCCCTCTCGCGAAGCCACGGGCTCCCAGGCCCCGCAGGTGGGGCCGCAGTAGATGGGGTCAGAGGATCGCGCCGCATCGCCGATGCATCGGCGATGTGGCGATATGTCGAGCCCGATCGTCTCCCCGCCGCCGTCGCCGTTGCATCGCCGACGCATCGGCGATGCATCGCAGATGCATCGGTGATGCGTTGACGATGCAGCGCGATGCTCCGGCCCCAACTACTCGGACCTCATCCGGGCAGCCTCTGAGATTGGCGCGCGCAGCGATTGAACACAGAGCGTTTCTTGTCTGCAGACGATCCTCAGTAAGGAAGCTCGAACTCCTGGATGGAGCTCCGCAGACGGTCAACTCGATATTGGAGTTCCGAGCCCGACGTATAAGTTGCTCAAATTGACTTGTTGACTTGTTGAGCTATTCAACCTTCAACCTCAATATTCTTAATACAGTCGAGGTCGATTAGTAGGTCGACCCTGCCAATCAAGGGTACCCTTGTGCCCTGTGTGTCGCGTCCCGTGCCTCCTACATTCCTATGGCAATGTGGCCCTCGGAAGGGTCTTGCGTCCTATCGCGTGTCCTATCCAATCAATCCCGACTGTAGTTCAGGATTGAACCACAGGGTCTGCATTCAGTCTTGAACTGGGTTATTGAACTTTACACTTACGCTGTCCACGTCATAGAGCGGGCGGCCGTGCGGGCTGGGCTGATCCCACGGGGCGGGACTGGAAGGCGGGACATTAAAGGATCATTGTAAGCCGTTGTGGGTGCGAAGGCTGCAGGACGGATTTTGTGCTGTGCTGTGCTGTGTGCTTGTTTTCAGTGATTCGCTGTGCGATGTCATGTTTCGATGCTACCGCCAACCCCCTCTCTATCAGAAGGGGGCATGCAGAAGTTACGTTGGATGCTTGGGCTCCGCCGTGAAGCTATACCGAAGCCTCATGCTGCGAGGGCGATTGGTAATGTTCAAGACAAGTTGGAATCCATATAATGTTTGAACTCTGTATTTTTGCTTGTTCGAACATCCCGTCACGCTGTGTATTGGAGGCCCTCTGAGAGCGACTGGGGGGCTGCTTGAGGCTACGTTGGGCAAACTCGCTCGGCTTGGACGGTCTTTGGGTTCCCCCTGAGTTTTTTCCCTGGGGCAGTGTCTCTGGGGACGCGAACACGGCGTAATTTACAAGGGATCGTGGCCTCGGTGGCGCGAGAACGGCATAATTCATGAGAGGCCGTGGCATCGACGCGAATACGGCGAGACCTGCGAAGCAGCGTGGCCCCGGGGGCGCCGATACAGAGCACCGCAAGGCCACGCAAAGCGATGCGAAGCGATGCCATACGCCGTGGACGGGCTAACGGCGATGTAGGTAACGGCGATGTAAGTTTCGGTATTGTGGGAACGCGTGGTTCGCGCTTTCCTGCAATTCGCTGTGTCGTGTTCGCTCGATCCATTCGCAGACAGGACATGTAGGAAAATGTGGCTCGTAATTTCCCAACATCACCGTTCAGCAACATCGCCGTCAGCCCGGCCTTCGAGACGGTGCCGCGCGACGCACTGCGATGCAGAGCAGTGGGAAGCACTGCGAAGCAGGCAAAGCGTATTGCAACGCCGTGCGGGCGGCGACGGACGGCGGCGGACGGCGGCGGCGGATGGGCGCAAGCCGGCCCGCACCGGCACGAAGGCCCCGCAGCGACAGGCGGCGACGGGCGGCCTGGAGCCGGCCAGAGCGGCACGGGGGCCGAGTGCTCTCGTGCAGAGAGGCTGCGAGGGCCTATAAGTGCGAGCACTACTGGGGAGGATGCAGCGCTCAGTGGGCCCCGGAAACGACAGGGCCGTTCTTTTACCGTCTCCGTTGTGCCGTTTTCGTTGCCAGTTCCGACGCCGTTTTTGTTGCCGGTTCCGTCGCCGTTTGTTTGCCGGTTCCGGCTCCGGTTCCAAGCCTGAAGCCGTTTTTTTGCCGTTTCCGGTCGCCGTTTTTTGCCGTGCCCATGTTCAAGGGGCACTTTTTCGGAAACGGTGAAAAAAACGGCCCTGCCGTTTCCGTGGCCCACTAAGATGCAGCGGAACGTCGGCATGCAGATGGAGACGGGTGCGGATGTCGATGTTTAGATGAAGGTCCAGATGGATGTGATCACGGATGCGCGCGTTCCCGGACCGATCCCGAGCCTCTGCGTGAAGTCGATTTGCTTTGCGGGCCTGAATTGTTGGTGACACTCCTTTCTCGTTCCTTTCCTTTCTCCGTCGTCCTCCCCCTCCTGTTGACTTGCTTGTCGCCAGGACCACACCGCGCATAATCACGCAGCACCTGGAACATGTATAAATCACAGCACGCGGAGTCACACGCATGCAATCAGAAGCAAAGGATCACGCTGCACACACCGTCTCAATTCGGAATCCCACAGCAATGAACAGTGCATGTTCGCACAGCTCAGCGGACCACACAAGCGCGCAGTAACCACGCGGCACCGTGCAGCACAGAGTCACACCACTGAACAACACAGTGAAGCTTCATGTCGAACGCTGGCGGACTGGCCAGCTGGTTGGTGAATTGGGTGGTTGGTTGGCTGGTGCGTTGGTGGGCTGTCTGGCTTTCTGTCTGCCTGGATGGCACGCGCGTGCAGTCGCAAGCAAAGAATCACGTAGCACACACAGCCTCAATTCGGGCTCACACAGCACTGCGCAGGACATGTTTGCACAGCTCAGCGAGACACACAATCACGCGTCGCCGCTCCGACGATGGTCGAGCATGGCCGCAGACTCGAGGTGTTTGGGCGTTCTGGGGGTCGTTGCTGAGTCTTCTATTGACAAACTTCCCGTCGCCATGGCTGGATCCGCCTCGGAGCCTCCGGCCATAACCTATCCCTGTCTGGGAAGCGTGGGACTCGAGGCTGCCAGGACTTGGTTTCGCCGCCGCTATTTCGAAGGGCAAGTTTTCTGGAGGTGTTTACAGCGTGAGCTCGCGGCATTTCTTTTTGGCAGGGCCCTGCCGCTCCTCTGACGCCCCCGTCGGGCAGGCTCGAGCCCCCTGTCTCGAGCCTTCCGTCTCCCCGACCCTAGACGGGGCCGCAGGTACTTACGGTAGGTTTGCGGCGTCGTGTCGACCAGCGGCGACCCCAGCGCGGGCGTTCAAGGTTGAACGCTGCCGGCGACCAAGAATCGATCGACGTTGAACGATCGGACGTTGCGGCAGCGGCCGATCGTTCAAGGTTGAACGATCCCTGCGGTGTCAAAAACCAACGCTGGGGTCGGCACGACACGAACCTGCCGTAGATTTTTCACCCCCGAGCCCGGAGCCCCCTCCCCGCGCCGCGAAGAAGTCGAGACTCGAGGTATGGCGCCCTTTTTCCGGCCCCGGGGGCGCCGGTGCTTTAAGGGCCCACGGCGCCCGAGGCCTGGGGACGGTCGACACTGGACGGCGGCATCGCCCGGGGGCCACACGCGAACCCTACGCCTACCCCCCACGATGTCTGAGGGGGAGGGTGGGGTTCACTTCGCTCGGGTGCTCGCAAACGAAATGAACCCCACCCTCCCCCAGAGATCGTGGGAGGTGGGGGTGGGGTTCGCTTGTGGCCCCTCATCGCTGGCCGGAGTCGACGATGGTCGACGATGGGCGACGGCGGCAGCGACGGCGGCGACGGTGGCGACGGCGGCGACGGCGGCGGCGGCGACGGCGGCGGTCACGGTGGCGACGGCGGCTGCGGCAGTGGTGGCGACCACGCGGCGGCGGCGGTGGCGGCCGTGCGGGGAGGCTGGGCCCGCATCGGCCCGCGGCTCCCCGGGGTCCCCTTCAGCTCCTCCGCCCTGGGCCCCCCGGGTGGCTCTCGGAAGAGTTCGGGGGAGGAGGAGGAGGAGGAGGAGGAGGAGGAGGAGGAGGAGGAGGAGGAGGAGGAGGAGGAGGAGGAGGAGGAGGAGGAGGAGGAAGAGGAGGAGGAGGAGGAGGAGGAGGAGGAGGAGGAGGATGAGGACAAGGATGAGGAGGAGGAGGACGAGGAGGAGACGGAGGACGGAGGGAGGAGGCGGAGGACGGAGGGAGGAGGCGGAGGACGGAGGGAGATTGGTAGCTCTCGCCCTCTGGGGGGCCCTTGCCTGGCCCCAGGACTGTCGAACAACAAGCAAAAATCTGATTGCAAATGTGGCCCTGGGGAAGGCGTCGAGATTCGAGACCTCCAGGGGTCCACGTTGTGAAACATCACGACGTCGGTGGGTCTGCGATTTTGGGAGGCTGTCGGAGCCACATTTCCGAGGGGGGGGTGAGTCGAGGCTCGAAGATCGGGGTGGGTTAACGCTCTGGGGATTCGTGAGTGGTGGCGGATGGGCAGACCCCTGGAGACCCGGACGTCCTGGCGACGCGCGGGGATCGCGCGACGCGGCCCAGCATCTCAGATGGCCCACCCCCCGGGGATGTCCGCGGCCTTGGGCGGGCACGCGCGGGCTGCTCCGCGTTCTGCTGAGCAGCCGCCCCGCATCACAGGCGGCCCCTTCGGCGGCGGGGCACCTGGGGCACCCTGGACCAGCGTGAGGCCCCGCCTCGACCGCGGAGGACAGAGGGCGGGGGGGGGGGGCCCAATTGCCCTCGCCCCCCCCGCTCCGAAGCGCTGCTCCGGGGCTCGGGGAGCCCACCCCCCGCCGCTCGGCGACGCTCGAACGGTGGGGCTCGGCGGCCCCCTCCTGAGCGGGCTCTGGGTGGCGGGCAGGTTCCACAGCCCTTGGCCCAGGGGTCTGCCCGCGCGCACTGGCCAGAGGGGCTCTGGGCGCTGCGCACGGGCCATGGCGGCTTCGGCGGCGGCTGCCTCCGCCACCTTCGTATCCAGGCCGTGGCGCTTGCAGACCGCGGGCAGCACGCCCACGCCCGCCGACGCGCAGCAGCAGCAGCAGGGCACGAGGCAGCCAGAGCCGCCGTCTTGGCGCTGCTCCGTGGTGCGGCGGCTGGAGGGCAGCCTGTCGCCCGACACCGCCTTCGGCCAGGCCTTCGCGCACTGGGCGCGCAAGGCCGAGGCGCTCGCCACCAACCACGTCCGCACCGCCTTCGAGCGCGGGTGCGCGGGCCTGGCCGCTAGGGCCGAGGGCGTTGCGGCGGGGGCGGTCTCGGCGACCATCGCCCTGGCAGGCACCGACGTGGCCGACCACGAGGCCACCATGCGGCTGGCGGCGCGCCTCCTGGCTGCATCGGCCCCCGCCGCCCGCATCGCCCTGGTGGGCCCGGGCGACTTCCGGAGCTTCGCCTTGGCCACGAGGTGCATCTGCGCGCAGCTATCTGGAGAGGGCAGCGGCGCGGCAGACGTGGGCGACGACGACGACGGCGAGGACGATGACGCGCCGCATTGCAGCGACCAGAAGGTTCGCAGGCTGTCCACCCCAGCCAGGTTCGCGAGGTGGCTGAGCAGGAGCGGGTCGGCAGCTGCCGTCGTCATACTCGTTGAGCAGGCCGACAGCCTGCCGAAGGAAATGCTTCGTGGTGTGCTCAGCACGTGGGGTTCTGCTTGCGGAGATCATGGCATCCCCATAAGTTGCCTGCTTGGACTACAGCACTCGCCGACTGGACTGCACAGGCTCCTTGGCGGGGACTGCGCGATCCCAGTGATCAACACGAGCGCCGTGACGCTGTTCAATGCCCAGGAGGTCTGCTACGAGTTCCTTTGCTTAGTGGCGGAAGACGAGGAGGCTCCGCTGCCGTTGTTCCCCGAGACGCTGATGTGGCTCAGGGACCACTTCCTGAACTCTCGCCGGAGCATGTCCAGGGTGCTGAAGGCCCTGGCGCTGCTCTGCGACGAGCACGCTTCGCAGAATCAGCTGAGCGCCATATGCATTTCGGCGATGGTGGCGACCAACGCAGCAGGGCAAGGCGATGTGCCGCGCCGCAAGTGCGTGGAGCTGGTAGGGAGCGCGGCAGCGGCAGCAGCCGCGAGTCTTGCGCCAGAGCCTCCCGAGGTGGCACCCGCAGCCGCGCCAGGGCCTTCCTCGGAGAACGCATACAGCTGGACGCAGGCTCTTGCGGAGCGCCTGCGGGGCTCCCAGGAACTTGTGGGCTGCCTGCGGGACGCGGGGTTCGCTGGCAGGCTCGAAGGCCCAGCTGACGAGGAGCGCCTGCTGAACGACGTCGCAGAGGCCGCCGCCGCGGCCCTCGAGTGGCGCACCAGGCTGTGCCGCTCGCTGGAGGTGTGGGACATCCTCCTCTGCACTCTGCAGCCCACCGCGCGCCACGAGGTGCAGGTGAGGAGGATGTGGAGGCTCCTGTCGGCAGTCTGGCCGCGGCAGACAGCGGCCTCCTCTGGCGCGGATGGCTCGGCGGACCAGGACGGCAGCGGCATCGACAAGCTAGTGGGCATCTGCCTCCAGAAGCTCGACCGGAGGGCCCGCACCATCGACGCCGGCGAGCTGCGGCGGATGCTGGAGCTCCTGCTCCCCGCGAGCGCCTCGCTCGATGAGCCGCTGCAGGTGGAGCTGAGGGCGCTGGTCTCGTCTGAGCACGGTGAAGACGAGCTCTGCAGCGGTGTCCAGTCGTGGGTCCAGGCTCGGCTCGGCTCGTCCGAAGGGGAAGGGGGGTTTGTTGTAGAGTCGCGGGAGGAGCACGGACCAACGCCACCGAGAGCCCATCGGGGGAGGGCCGACACCTGGGCGGTGGCACGCCCGAGCGTCGTCCGGTGCTGGGTGACGCTGGGGCATGCCACCGCCCAGGGGTCGGCCCTCCTCCTCCTCTTCCTCCTCTTCCTCCTCCTCCTCCTCCTCCTCCTCCTCCTCCTCCTCCTTCCTCCTCCTCCTCCTCCTCCTCGTCCTTCTCCTCCTCCTCCTCCTCCTCCTCCTCCTCCTCCTCCTCCTCCTCCTCCTCCTCCTCCTCCCCACTCTCCGCCTCTCTGCGGGAAAGGGCGGTGGCGTCGAAATCTGCTGCTCGCAGCTGGCTTCGGCACCGCCGCCCGGCGCCTTCCTCGACACACATGACGCATGAGTTCCAGGAGGCACAGGGAAAACCAGCCACACGAAGTGATTCGCAAACCTCGGAGAAGGAGAAGGAGGAGAGGGAGGAGGAGGAGGAGGAGGAGGATGAGGAAGAGGAGGAGGAAGAGGAGGAGGAGGAGAGGGAGAGGATGATGATGATGATGATGATGATGATGATGATGATGATGATGATGATGATGATGATGATGATGATGATGATGATGATGATGATGATGATGATGATGATGATGAGGATGAGGATGAGGATGAGGATGAGGATGAGGAGGAGAGGAGGAGGAGGAGGAGGAGGAGGAGGAGGAGGAGGAGGAGGAGGAGGAGGAGGAGGAGGAGGAGGAGGAGGAGGAGGAGGAGGAGGAGGAGGAGGAAGAGGAGGAGGAGGAGGAGAGGAGGAGGAGGAGGAGGAGGAGAGGAGGAGGGAGGGGAGGAGGAGGAGGAGAGGAGGAGGAAGAGGAGGAGGAGGAGAAGAGGAGGAGGAGGAGGAGGAGGAGGAGGAGGAGGAGGAAGGAGGAGGAGGAGGAGGAGGAGGAGAGGAGGAGGAGGAGGAGGAGGAGGAGGAGGAGGAGGAGGAGGAGGAGGAGGAGGAGGAGGAGGAGGAGGAGGAGCAGCAGGATGAGGGGGAGGAGGAGGTTCCGTTGAGACAACGTCGGTTCCCTGACCCCTGCTAGGGTCGATTGCGACTCCTTTCGCGAGGCGGGCCCAGCCGTCGCGACGAGAAGCCTCCAGGAGGAGCCCCCAAAGTGGACCATCAACGGCAGGCAGGGCCGCTGTGGTCTCGACTGGCCCTTCTCCGATCATCCCCCTTGCCGATCCTCCCTTTTCACCGAGCGCGCTCCGCTACTCGCAAACTGCCTACTCGCAGACGTCAGACACATATATATATATATATACACACATACATATACATACATACATATATATAATGTGTATAACTCTCACTTCCCTTATACAAGCCAGCGTAAATCCCACGCGACGGATCCATGCCATTTGCGAGTACAGTGGGGGTGCCCATGCCAAGAAACGCCATGCTTGCCTCCAGGGTGCCCTGGGTTGCTTGGGCTTCGATGTTTTTTCGATTCAAAGCGCGAAGTGCCAACACCAAGAATCAATGGACGTCCCGTGGTCTCAGGGTTGGGTTTCTTGTGGAAGCCTTCTTGTGGACTGGCCTCCACTTTAGCTACTGTCCCAGACCCCCGACGTAATGATTTGTTCATTACGTCGACCTTCAGAGGTCCCGACCCTTTCCCCATGACCAGCTTTGCCTCCTGAGTCGTTGTTTGACGCTCCCGAGGCCCGCTCGGCGCCCCCCAGAGGCCGAAAACAGCGAAAAATCTCCCGTCGTGATTTCTTGTCACTGCTCGAGGGGGTCCGGGGTGCGAGTGGTGGAGCGCGCTTGTCTGCCTTCTGGTCCGACCCGGCAGGCCGTGAAAGCTCGGCACTGGCAGCCTCTCGGCGGCGTTCCGGGGCGGCTCTTCCTGGCGGGGCTCACCCTGTCGCCCGCCGCCGCGGGCGCCGTCGAGCGGCGGCTCTCGCACAAGGCTCAAGTCGGGCCTGCCCCTCTGCAGGGGGGAGATCGAAGACTAGTCAGAACATAGGCCGGGAACGTGTTTTTTTTGTTTTGTTTTGTTTTGTTTTGTGTTATCACTTCTCGATGATAGCTTCGTATGTTTGTGATTTTTGTCTTCGATGTGTTTGATGTTTGTCGATGATACCTTCCTCAGTCCGCTGATAGGGGGACGTGCCCGACCTAGCACAAGGCTCAAGTCGGGCCTGTCCCTCTACAGGGGGAATATCGAAGACAAGTCAAAACAGAGGCCAGGGACGATATTCTTGGATCATTTCTCGATTCTATCTTCGCATGTTGTTGAATATGTTCGCTTTTCTTCCTAAGTCCGCTGATACGGGGACGTGCCCGACCCAACACAAGACTTAAGTCGGGCCTGTCCCTCTACAGGGGGAATATCGAGACGAGTCAAAACATAGGCCGGGGACGATATGTTAGCATCATTTCTCGATTAGTGATTCTCATGATTTGAATATGCTCGCTTTTCTTCTTAAATCGGCTTGTAGGGGGCACGCCCGACCTAACATAGGCCAGGTACGATATGTATGGATCATTTCTCGATTCTATCTTCGCATGTTGTTGAATAGTTTTGCCTTTCTTCCGAAGTCCGCTGATACAGGGACGTGCCCGACCTAGCACAAGGCTCAAGTCGGGCCTGTCCCTCTACAGGGGGAATATCGAAGACAAGTCAAAACAGAGGCCAGGGACGATATTCTTGGATCATTTCTCGATTCTATCTTCGCATGTTGTTGAATATGTTCGCTTTTCTTCCTAAGTCCGCTGATACGGGGACGTGCCCGACCCAACACAAGGCTCAAGTCGGGGCTGTCCCTCTACAGGGGGAATATCGAAGACGAGTCAAAACATAGGCCGGGGACGATATGTTAGCATCATTTCTCGATTAGTTCTTCGCATGTTTTGAATATACTCGCTTTTCTTCTTAAATCGGCTTGTAGGGGGACACGCCCGACCTAACATAGGCCGGGAACGATATGTATGGATAATTTCTCGATTCTATCTTCGCATGTAATTGAATATTGTTGTTTTTCTTCCTAAGTCCGCCGATACGGGGACGTGCCCGACCCAGCACAAGGCTTATGTCGGGCCTGTCCCTCTACAGGGGGGATATCGAAGACTAGGCAACACATAGGCCGGGGACGATATGTTTGGATCATTTCTCGATTATATCTTCGCATGGTTTTGAATATGCTTGCTTTTCTTCTTACATCTGGTAGAGCGACACGCCCGACCTAACATAGGTCGGAGACGATATGTTTTGATAATTTCTCGTTTCTATCTTTGCATGTTTTTGAATACTTTTGCTTTTCTCCCTGAATCCGCTGGCAGGGGGACGCGCCCGACCTACAGTCAACCCGCATAGTAAGGATGGGCGGTCTTCCCAAGGATACCCTTGCATCCTTGCCTCCTCGGTCCATCCTTCGCCGCTTTCGCTGGCCGCGCCCCGCTCGAAAAGCTCCGAGGTGGGCGTCCAAGGCCCTTGCATCTCGGGCGACGAAATCTATACATATCCACTGCTCCCTGACCATGCCCATCTTGAACCCAGGAGCTGTGTATGCGCCCTCCTGGCCAAGCCAGGAGGGCGTGGCGTATACACCGCTGCGGGGTTGAGGATGGGCCTGGCCTGGGAGCAGTGGATATGTATAGATTTCGTCGCCCTGTGCATCCTTGTCTTCGCGCATCCTTGCTACACTGGTTGACCGTAGCACGAGGCTGCGGAGGCCGAGGTGCTGGCGCTCGCGCGGGGGCCCATGCGCCGGCAGCGGGACGACGCCTCCCTGGTGTGCCGGCTCCTCGAGAGCGTGCCGGGCAGGACCGCGGCGGCACTCGGGGGGCCTGCGAGTCGAGAGGGCATCGGGGGCCCCCAAACCCAGAGATTCCACGCGTTGAAAGAATCCAGGCGGCGTTTGTCGCAATTTTCGGCCCCTGGGGGCCCTCGCTGGGCCGCGGGGCCGTCAAAAAACGACTCGGGATGAGAAACCGGTCCTGGGGAATTGGTCGAGACTTCCGGGGACCCCGCAGTGAAAAAATCACGACATCGGATCTCTGGGAACGGGGTGGTGGCCACACCGTGCGGTGAGTCGGTGGGGATTCGGGGTCACCGCACGGTTTGGGGATTCGGGTCGTTCTCTCCGAGGACGTCTTGGGCGACTGGGGCGTCCGAGGTCCCAAGGCCGTGACGGACCGTGCGGTGAGGTCTTGGGGGATTTCGAGGTCACCGCACGGTCTGTCACCGCACCGTTTCGGGACTCCAAACAGCGGTGGTTTGCCTTCGGGAGGGGATTGGTCGGGGGCGGCCAAGGGGGGGGACTAGGGGGGGGCTGGACATCATTGCATGGGCCATGATGTTTCCCCAGATTTCATGGCGCCTCTTCTTGTTTCATTGCGTCCCTGGCCCCCCCCCAAGGGCCACGCACAAGCCGCCGGCCATGGTTTGCGCCCCCCCCCCCTCTTGGACACCCCCTCTTGACCGCCCCCGAGTTGGCCTTCGGGTGGGGGCCTGGGCCCTCGTCGCCACGGCTGGACGCAGCTCGACACGCGGATGCCTCTGGACCACAGCAGGGGTCCGGGGGCCAAGTCTGAGCTGCCGCCGTCGTTGCTCGCCCTGCTCCGTATTGGGGAAGCAGCCTTCGGGGACCCCTGGCGCGCGGCTTTCGGGGGGCGAGGGAGGGCCAAGCCCACGCGCTCGGGCCGCTGCCTGTCGCAGCGCACGCGCCGAGCATCGGAGGCCATTCTTGCCCAGGGTCCCGCGCTCTCCTCCTCCTCCTCCTCCTCCTCCTCCTCCTTCTCCTCCTCCTTCTCCTTCTCCTCCTTCCTTCTCCTCCTTCTCCTCCTTCTCCTTCGCCTCCTCCTACTCGTCCTCATCTCCTTCTCCTCCTGCGCTCATTCTTGCCCGCGCCTTCTCCTGCGCCTGTGGCCGCAGGACGGTCGAGCTGGCGGAGCTGTTTGCGGAGTTCAGCAGGCACGCCGGCGATGCGCCCGGCCCAGCGGGCGGCGACGCCGCCGAGCAGAGCAGGTTCGGCCGCGCGCTGATGCAGCTCCACATGCAGGGGCTGCACGCGCCGGTCCGGAGCGGCGGCCAGCACCGCAAGCAGAAGAGGGCGTTCGCGGGCTGGCGGACCCGCAAGAGGGCGTTCGGGCGCGTCTGGGTGAAGGCCGCCCAGCAGACCCGCATCACGCAGTTCTTCGGCAAGGCGCCCGAGGTCGACGTGGTCGAGAAGACCGTGTCGGACCGGACGGCGGATCGCTCCGACAAGCCGCAGCAGTTCGTGTCTCCGATATTCGTGGACCCCAGGGACGCCAAGAAGGTCCTTGCTAGAGACCTGTGCCACGCAAGAAGGGTGGGTTGGGTGGGGGGGAAGCGCACACTTCCAGCACACTTTGGACGCTTGGCAGCAGCTCAAGGGCCCTCTAGGGCCTCTCTGGAGGCGCGTGTACCTGCAGACCTCGGTCGCCCCCCCCCGTGTCTTGCCCGCCCTCCCCCCCCCCTCTCCCCCCGCCATGCGACGACGCCGCCGACGACGACGCCGCCGCCGACGACGCCGACGACGCCGACGACGACGACGGCGATGTCGACGACGACGGCGACGACGACACCGACGACGACGACGACGACGTCCGCCGTCCGTCAACATGCCTCGGAAAATACAGTCGGGGCGCTGAAGAAGGAACCCTTTTCGTTGGGGAGGGGCTCGGTGTTCCTTGATTGTTCCACAGCTTGCCTTGAGTTTTTCATGAGGCTTTCCATGGGAGATCGAAGTGTAACTTATTGGGAGAAAGGGGCCTCGTTCCTTGTTTAGGGTGCCTTAGGTCAACGCCCGGACTGTACTCTCTTTGTGATGTCTTCGCGTCGCCTGCGAACGACGACGAACGGAAGAGCATCGACGACGACGACGACGACGACGGCGACGACGACGATGACGACGACGGCGGCGACGACGACACCGACGACGACGACGACGACGACGTTCGCTGTCCGTCAACATGACTCGGACAAAGACTCTCTTTGTGATGTCTTCGCGTCGCCCGGATCTGGAATCCACGGCGCGCCGAGGGGGGAACGTGAGCGGGAGCGGGCCCTCTCGGCAGGCGGCGGGGTCTCGGAGAAGGCTTGACCGGGGCCTTCGGGTTGAGCTGGAGGAGGAGGACGAGGAGGAGGACGAGGAGGAGGAGGAGGAGGAGGAAGGAGGAGGAGGAGGAGGTGGAGGAGGAGGAGCAGGCCTCCTCAGCAGGCGGCGGGGTCTCGGAGAAGGCTTGACCGCTCACGCTCCGATGCTCCCTCTGGAGGCTTCCAGGAGGCCCAGAGACGGCCACAGACGCGTTGAGCACGAGATGCCCAAAACTCAGGAGGAACAGAAGCACACAGACACAATTAATCGTCGGGTCCCCAGAGAATATGGGAAAATATGGGAAGTGGGGGGGAAGACAGAAACCCAGAAAATATAGCAAAATATACGGAATCCTGTGATTTGCGCGTAGTTATTTATTTGTGTGTCCCAGGGCCCCTTCACAGAGACGGCAACAAACGCGTTGAGCACGAGATGCCCAAAACGTCCGAGCACCTCCCTCCTCAATCCTCGACGGTCGAGGGCAAAACTTCGCACTGGCAGGTCGTGGACGCGAAGGAGGCCCCGTGGGCGATGGCGGCGCTGCGGAAGGGCCCGGCGACGCGGCTGCAGACTGCGCTGCGGGAGAAGCTAGGTGCCAGCACCGCCGCGGTGGAGTTGCACCCGGCGAAGAGGCAGAGGAGAACGAAGATCTTCATGGCGTGAGCCCTCCCGGGAGATCCGGCTTCCAGGTGCTCGCGAGGAGAGTTTCCCTCACAGTGGAGACCCATGACAAGAAGCACCCTGCTTGCCTCCAGGGTGCCCTGGGTGTCTTGGGTTTCGATGGTTTTGCTATGACTATGGAAAGCGTGACGTTTCCACCGACAATCTCTGGACGTCCTGGGGTCTCAGGGTTGGGTTACTCGTGGAAGGTTTAAATCGGGCCTGTCCCCCTACAGGAGGAATATTCAGAAATGGTTAAAACATAGTCTGGGGACGATGTTTCTATCATTTTGTTGACTATTTGGGCATTTTTGGACTGTTTTTTAAATTTTCGTCCACAATCCCCCTGTAGGAGGACAGGCTCGAATGAACGGACGGTTTTTTGTGGACTGGCCTCCACTGTGCACAGCTGAACTTTCTGCTGACTTCCCTTTTGCAGCTCACCTCTGCCCGCCGACTGGCACTCTGCGCCGCCGCCTCCGACGTGGCGGCGACGGAGGCACGGCAGGCGCGGGCCTCCGGGCCGAGCCTCGCGCAGGCGCGGCGCCGGGAGGCCTCCCGGCCCGCGTGGGGAGGAGGAGGGAGGGAGGGAGGGAGGAGGGAGGGAGGGAGAGAGGAGGAGGAGGAGGAGGAGGAGGAGGAGGAGGAGGAGGAGGAGGAGGAAGTGGAGCAGGGGGAGGAGGAAGACGAGGAGGAGGAGGAGGAGGAAGACGAGGAGGAGGAGGAGGAGGAGGAGGAGGAGGAGGATGAAGGCGAGGACGACGAGAAAGAGGACTGATGAGAGGAGGAGGAGGAGGAGGAGGAGGAGGAGGAGGAGGAGGAGGAGGAGGAGGAGGAGGCGGAGGAGGAGGAGGAGGAGGAGGAGGAAGCATGTAGTTTTCGCGGACGACAAGATGTTCGATGACGTCGCCGCGGATCTAGAGAGCGGGGAGGTCAACCCGAGGACGCACAAGAATCTGCTGCTGAGGTTGGGGCGCTTCTCACAGAACGGTGAGGTTGCCAGGGGGCCGAACCTCCTCCCCCCTCCCTCTCCCCCAACCCACCCCCTTTGCACACCTCCGTCCTGTGGACGCGGGGACCTCAATGTCCCCCCCATCTCCCCAGTCCCCCATGTGGACAGGGGGGACCCAAGGCCCACCCCCCTCCCCCACTTCTCCCCCAATCCCCCCTGCGCACAAGGGAAAACAAGGGGGTGGTCCCCCTGTGAACAGGGAAAACCCAAGACCCTCCCCCCACTCGTCTCCCCACGCACCCTCGCCCCCGTCTCCTCCCCACCTCGTCGAGAAGCGCAGAGCCGACTTGTGCAAGTCCAGGGTGTCGCCGCCTTGCACCGCCATGCCCAGACCTCCGACGGCTCGGCAGTCTCGAGCCCTGGGGCCCTGGACCTCTCGGCCTCGCGTCTTTCGGTTGGACGCCCCCCGGGGGCCTCTGGAGGCCACACGCGCCAGCCACGAGTCGGGCCCGCGAGCTCCGAGCCCCTGGAGATCCGGGAGGCGACCGCCCTTCTAGCCGAGCCAGCAGCGGTCGGGCGGCCACGGGCCGCCGGAGGTGTGTTTTGTCTTCGCGCATGGCTCGCCCGCGGCGCGGGCACGGGGCCAATCGCTGCGCGCCTCTAGTGGCGCGCTCGGGGACGGGGCACTGCAGCGCAGTGGCGTGGAAACAGGTCGCGGCCACGGGGCGGCCGAGGAGTGCAGCGTCGCCGCCGCGAGGAAGGGGAGTGTGTGCAAGGAGGGGGAGGAGGAGGAGGAGGAGGAGGAGGAGGAGGAGGAGGAGGAGGAGGAGGAGGAGGAGGAGGAGGAGGAGGAGGAGGAGGAGGAGCGGAGAGCAGAGAGCAGAGAGCAGAGAGCAGGAGGAGGAACGGGGAGGGGGAGGAGGAGGAGCCCAAGAGCTCCGAAGTCCTTTCCTGGTCCTGGTCATCTTCGGGTTCCAGCCGCGGGCCGAGGGCTGCGCGCTGGCGATGCATCGTGCCGCTCTTGATGGCAGCGCGAACCGCTTCCATCTGCCCCGCCTGGGGCGCCTCGCACAGCGAGAAGTCGTATCAGAGGAACCTCTGCTGGATACCGTCGAGCGGCGCCATCTCGGCCAGGTGGGCGGGCGGTGAGCGGAACGGCAACGGCATCCGGCATCCCTTGCCTGTGCTTCCCGTCCCCGAGTGCGGCCACGGTGGTGCCCTCCTTCCACGTGCGCGGCCCGGATTTGGGCATGACGCACCCGCTCTTGAGGCACCTCTGCGGCTAGTTCATGGTGAACGTGCTTGGCGTCGATTGCCCAGGCTACGGCCTCCTGCGCCATGCGGCACCCATCGAGGGGGTGAAGGTAAATACTTGGTTGGCCACGTCGGCGTGCGGCGTCAACAGATTTTATAGGCTCACGCTGTGCCCGCCGACCCCCCGTGATCTGGAGCCCCAGGTCGCAGGCCCAGGGAGGGGCGGGGACGCCCCCTGACGAGTTCGCTTCGAGGTCGTGCCAGGCCAGCCCCTCTCGTCAAATTTGCAGGCTGCGGCCCTTGGGGGGGGGAGGGGAGGGGGGAACCACCTCGCGCGCCCCGAAGCCCGCACGGGGCCGGCGGGCTTTTCCCAAGGCGCGCCCCCAGCGGTCCCGAGAACCCTCTCCCCGTCGGTTCCTCTGTCGTCCAGGATCCGTGCTTCGGGGCCCGAGACGAGCTGGTCCAGGAATGGGGCTCACTGCGCTGTTTGGGCTCGGAGTTGAGCCCTCGCAGACTCAGAGACAAGTGGCACGCGTGCCCTGGCTCTTGCACCAAGGAGCTGCGAGGGACAGGAGGCTTTCGCCTCCTTCCTCCAGGAGCTTCCTTCTGTGACCAGGGGGGGAAAGACGAACGACGAACGAACGAGCGACGACGACGAACGAAAATGAAGAGGTCCGAGCTCAAGAACACAGCTGTGCAAGATGATAAGAGTCACTGTGGTGTTCTGACTCGCTCGGTCCAGAAATGTGGCTCCCTGTTGCGGTCTGGATCTAGTTCATGTCGCCAGAAGCTCCACGAAGGAGGCCCGAGGGAGGCGTATCGCCCGTCCGGCGGCTGTCCGGAATCGACTCACTATGATCAAGGGAGGAAGAACCACCCGGACCGGACAATTGGTGCTTGCTAAACGGCCTGGGGCGTTTACTAAACAGCCCTGCCCTGTGCGATTCCTTCTTCGGGTGCGTGTACGCAACGGCTTCGCGTGTCGGGGTGGTTCTTATCGGGGTAAATGTTTTGCCCTCTCTCTCTATATATATCTATCTATGATGTTTTGGTTCCACATCCAGAATTGAGACTCACGTTGGCGTTCTGGCTCGACCTGGTCCAGAAATGAGGCTCACTGTAATGTTCAGGTTCGACTTCAGCCATCCCAAATCCAAACATGTTGTTCACTATGGTGCTCTGGTTCGACTTGGTCCAGAAATGGGAGTCGGCATTATGCTTTGGCTCGACTTCTATTCGCAGGTTCCTTCCGCCAGAATCTCCGTTGGGGGCGGCGAATGCTGTGGCTTGATTTCGTATTTCAGCCCTCGCATATGTAGAAATGAGATTATGTTGTTCTGGCTCGACTTGGTCCAGAAATGACGCTCCTTATGGTGCTCTTGCTCGATGTCAGCCCTCCCAGATCCAGAAATGAGACTCACGTTGGCGTTCTGCCTCGCTTCCAGAGATGAGACTGACTGTGGTGGTGTGGCCTTTCAAATCACACAAACTCTTCCGCCAGAATTTCTGCAGGGGGAGGCCGAGTGTTCTGGCATGAGCGCAGCCCTCGCAGATCCAGATATGAGGCTCACTATGGTGTTCTGTCTCGATGTTGGCCCTCGCAGGTCCAGAAGTTGTGGCAGGGGCAAGGATTTTCACCATTCCAGCTGTCCCAGGCCCCGAAATCGTAGCAGGGCCATCGCCTTCTCAGCATTCCAGTCGCCAGGAGTGGGGCCGCTCGGTCCTAATGCTGTTCCAAGTGCGTGCGTGCCACCATGTCGACATCACGAACGTCGCCCTCACTTTTTCTCAAAGCTCATCAGCTACATCATCGTATCGGCAATGTTTGATGAGGTGGTTCTCGCAAGCCGATGTTAAAGGCGTCCATCCGCCTCCACACTTCAGCTGCTATTCGGGTGTTCTGCTGGGATAATGGAGAAGCCGTTGGGGGGCTGGTATGGGGGCGCATGCGCCTCCGGGCGGTTTATCTTGGCTTCGTGGGGGCCTCTTGGCCGCCTGCTGGCTGGGTTTGAGAGCATGAGTTCCCCAACCATCCTGTGGTGTTACGTCCTCGTTTTGAAACAGCAGCGCCCCGCATCCTCTCCTCTCATCCTCCCCCCCTCCCTCCTCTCTCCTCCTTGCCCGTGCACCCCGCATGCGTGTTCCGGCACTCTACCAGTGCCTGGGTCCTTCGCGCAGTCGATGGCCTCTCCCAGGTTCGGATCCTCTGGGCTGGGGCAGCGGTCGACGTGATGTAGCGTTTGTAGATGCGCGCTTGGCCCATCTTGGATACGGATAGATCGTGGTTGTTGCCAGCGTTGCGACGCTTATCCCCACCAGCAGCTTCGAAAACTTTGCCGATGAGAGCTGACGGGAAACGGGAGGAAGAGACACATACAGAGAAACGGAACGGGCAAGCAGAGGAAGAGGATGAAGGACAAGGGAGGAGAGGAAGACAACGAGGACAAGCGCTCTTCGAGCCATCTTGGGATCCTCTTGGGGCACTCATGGGGTCCTCTTGGGGGTTGCAGTGGGTCCTCGTGGGACTGTCTTTGGGCCCTCTTGGAGCCAAGACTTCGTGGGGGCCATCTTGTAGGGCGTCGATCCGATGAGGGGGGCTCCGTGATTTTTTCTGGGACCATCAATGTCGTCTCTTGGGGCGCTCTTGGGCGCTCTTGTGGCCGTTTCGGGGACCTCTTGGGCCCCTCTTGGGGCTCTCTTGGGCCATCTTGAGGCCTCAGAAGCCAATCGGAAGCGAAAAGGCGAGAAGGCACAACGCATTGATTCCATATGGTTTTTGCAGGATGTTGGTCCCTTGGGGGGCTTCTGGTGGGGGCTCCGAGAGCATCTGGAACCGTCTCGTGGCCCCGGTTGGGCCTCTTGGAGGAATCCATATTGAGCCATCTTCGGCTACGCATTGTTCATGTCTAATTCTTCGACAGTTCTTCGATTTTTTTGGGGCCAGGATCCTTCCAGTTCTAATTGTTCTATCGTGGGCCTCTTCCTTGCCATTAGGGGGCCAGGAACAATCAGAAATGAGCACGACTAGAAATGAGCGACGTGTATCTTGAGCCATCCTGGAGGCCATCTTGTGTCATCGGGCCATCGAGGTCATCGTGTATCTTGAGCCATCCTGGAGGCCTAGAGCCATCCTGGAGGCCATCGTGTGTCGTCGGGCGCCCTCTTGGAGCCAGCTTTGGGCCATCTTGGGCGCCCGGACGGCTCGCGCCCTCCCCTCCCCCCCCGGAAAAAAAAGCCTCCGGGAGGGGGGAGGGGGAGGCTACCCCTCCCCGAAGGGAAGAGCGCTTTGGAAGAGGAAAGGAAGAAGTCGTTCGACCACGGGGAGAGCGTTTTGGGAGAGGGAAGAAAGAACTCGTTAGACCACATACGCCTCCG